GACTTCTTTAGCTATGCTGAATATTTTCTATAAAATTGGGGATAACAGTATCCATTTTATGTGATCATTGTGAAGATTAAAAATGATCTATTTAAGGGAATAACAGAATCACTACAGTGTAACAGACTGCCAAATGTCAAATGTTTGGCTGTACCTTCATCATAATCATTAAGTGTATGCAGCCCAGGTCATATACCTCTAATTCTTGCATGTAATTTTATACTCCTCAGCATCACAAAAAATGCAACCTTTGGAAGAAAGAGCAAGCTGTCAACTGTGACATGGTTTGTTCAACATAGTTTCTTCAACGCAATTTTGGTACATTAATTCTAAGGGGCCTATAAATTGAATCAATTCTGATTTTGTTAAAGTCTTTGAAAACAGTGTTACATTCTCCTGAGCCAATGCTTATCTTATAGTAAACAAACAGAAAGCAATTTGAAATCCCGTATTTGCTACGTTTTTTGATTAGCAAGCAGAAGGAATGGATGCAATCAATACTTGGACTCCCTGAGCAAAATTTATTTATTTCCCTAGTGAAAATCTCTCTTGATACTTATACTTCTCTCTCACCACCCACCTCTCTAGTTGTCTTGATATTGTCGCCACCCTTGTCCAACTCATTATCAGCTCTCTGCTGGACCATTTCAACCTTCTACTCTTGCCTCTTCTCCCTTACCCCAAGTAAAGTACATTCTCTACATAGCAGTGCCCTTTTAAAATTGTGTATCCCATCAGGCCACGACTCTGCTGAAAACCTCCAGCAGATGGCTTTCTGTAACAGAATAAAATGTGAGCATCCTGCATGGTTTAGAGAGCCCTGCTGAGCTAGCCCTTGCCTACCTCTCCAACCTACCTCCTACCGCCTGATCTCTGCCCCGTTGCCCCCAAAGCCCAATTTAGCATCCTGTTCTGTGAGTACATCCACACCATTCTCCACTCACGGTGCTTTGCTCTTGCTGTTCCTTCTGCCGCATTTCTTCATGTGACTGGCCTCTTATCACTTACGTCTCCATTCATATATCACCTGCTCAAAGAAGACTCTCCACCCTCCTAACCAAAACAGTCCTGTCCTCTCTAAGTCCCTGGTTTTATTTCTCCCATCACACTTACCCTTAGCTCAAATAATCTTCTGTTTTCTGTCATGTTGCTAGAATATTGAGACTTCTATGTACTGCATATAAAACTTAGATGCCTTCTTTAGTCTTTTATCTATAGTATATAGAAAGTGAGAGCTTAATAAATTTAATAGAAAAAATAAATTCCAGTTGTTACATTTTTGTAGATGATATAGTTAAAACTCCAAGAGGCCAGAGCAACTTTCAACTGTCATGTAGATTTCCCCTAGCTACCTAAAAGCGTTAGTTTATTAGTCATTTATTCCTTCATTACTTAAATCACTCAACCAATAATAATTTATTTCTCTATTGCATCCTGTAATCTAACTTTGTTTAAACTATTTATCCAATTATTCTTTATACATTTGAAAATACATAGTATATAAAGAACACAAATTAGAATAACCTCAAAAAACATACTGTCTCATTTGATGCCTGATAACAGAGGAGTAAAACGTTTCTTTTTCCAGGAAAAGACTCTCTGATATACTGCTTTAATGATACTAAATTACCTATTTATGGATATTTAGAGAAACATTTCTTGGGAAATATAAATAAATTCAAGACTACAAACATGGATAACTGAAATGAATTTATTCAAGAGGTTATCTCAATGAAATTAAAGATATGCTTTTAAGGACAAGTGAAATTGAAGGTGAGCACAGGTATAGGGAGAACAAAGTAAACAACATTATAAAATTCAGAAAGTTTATGCAGACTTCTACCATATTGTTTCTTATCTGCCACTACAAGCAACTCAATGGAATATTTCAGAACTCTACAGTATAGAAATGGTAGGGAAGTGAAGAATGGAGGACTGATGAGAAATATAGTGTTTTGGAAGAGAACGATCTTTTCTATGGTGGAAAACTTAAAAGTAAAAGTTATTTCTGAGCACTGATTATGTTCCAGGTATTGCGCATTATCTTCTCATTTAACACTCATAGTATCACTGTAAGTAAGTACAATTATTGCTCTACATCAGATGAGGAAAAGAAAGGAGAGAGGTAATTTGATGTATATCAGATCAGACAGCAGTAAATAAAAGACGCTGGAGTCAACTGGAGCCTAAGTCTGAATGAAGCCTATGTGTATTAAATATGTAAAAACCATGTCTTGTTGATCTTACCACACTTAAATAGGTCACTGCTGCTCTTCCACAATTGGATGTGCAATGCTAGGAGCCAGGGAATAATTTGTTTTTAAGAGTTTTTATTGTAGTTCATTACTACCTTAACTTTAAAAGTAAGTGGTTTATTCTAAAACTAAAATTTCTCTTTTCCCTCCAGATGAAAACCTCAAAAGTTTCTCAGTAGAATGTTGAATGAATTATGGGCTCTCCATACTCCAAAAATTTTAAAACAGTACAATAAATGAGCTATGTCCTTATGAACTGTTCCGGAAGGACTGCCCATGATACACTGTTAGGTAGGTGGAAATAGCAGTGTGCAGAGACAAGAGATCCCCATTTGGAATACGAATGGGCTAGGACTATGTAAAGATGTAGTCCAAACCTTTAATACTGGTTATCTAGTTGGGTGGGTAATCTATTTTTAATTTCATCTTTAGAGTATGATTGATTATAATAAGCATGTGTTGTTTTTGTAATTAATTATGAGTTTGGGCATTAGCAGGGTAGCGCAGTTGGTTGGAGCATTGTACTAATATGCCAAGGTTGTGGGTTCAATCACCAGTCAGGAAACATATAAGAAACAACCAATGAATGCATAAATAAGTGGAACAACATATTGATTTTCTCTATCCCTTTTTCTCCCTCCTTCATTTCTAAAATCAATAAATAAAAAAAATTAAAAATAGTGAGTTTGGAGTAAATTTTCTTTAAATTACTTATTCCTAATATAGTCTTCCTATACAACTTCCAATAGCTTTCTCAGGTGATCTTGTTCCTAATCGTAATCTCTTTTTCCTTCAACCAAAATACCATATTTTTATGTGTTTTACACACTGAACTTCCAGTTAAGATTTCCATTGAATGAAAGATTCCCTAGCTAGAAAAAATTTAAAAATCATTGGTCCATATCATCTGTTTCAATGACAGCCATTGAATATGGGCATTTTCTCTCTATATGTACACTCATGAGTTATGTGCATTTGTAATATAAATATATATTATTCATGAGAAATTCCAGATTGCTCTTTATTATATCAAGAGCCATACACATAAAATTTGAAAATCAAATATAAACTACACTTGATTTATTTAGCTTGAATGATCATTTTATTGATGGCACAGAGAGGGAGAATAGTAATCTGCAGTCCAGAGGTTTAGTAATGAAATCACCAGATTACTTGGAGTAATTCATTTCGTGTTCAGACACGTTGAAAGGAAAATACTAGGCAATGATTTAAAACATTATCCTATTGCTCAAAAGGGCTCCAATGTAGCTGAAAATTGTCAGAGCAAGAAAGTATGCCTTCCCCAAATCCAAACTATCTTTTAGTTAGGAAGTACATTCATAATAAGCGTGTAAGCTTTTCCCTCCAGTCTATTCCAGAGTAACCAAGAGCCAACTTAGCTCAGTCTCCTGATTAAAACTCTAACACCAGCCCCACAAAGGTGTATCATTGCTCTTTGTATTCCAGCTGCAACATTACATTTATCAACTGCATGCATTCCATGCCAAAATCTGGGCTGAATGTGTAACAACCCTATGGTTAGCACAATTTGTGGTCAATTAAATTAAATGCAACAAGCAATTTACTGAGTAGGCACTGAAGTTCCATGTACACTATGCGTTTTGCAAAGCCCATAAAGGAGGGTAGAGCAAAACTCTGCTCTCTAGGAACTTATAATTTAGTGAGGAAGGTGCATGCAAAACTGACTCTGATATGAAGCAGAATATGGTAAAGACAATACGTAAAAACAGGAGGAATATAAAGCATGGGGAGTAGAGAGTAGGGATTGCTCTCATATTTAATTCTAGTTTGGGCAATGAGAAGGTTTCTGGGAAGAGGTGACACTTTAGCTAAGATGATGGTAAAACAGGAGTCGGCTGTAGAGTAGGACATGCGAGTGGGCAGAGAAGCGCAGGGAAAGCAGTGCGTGCTGATGGATAGTAAGAATGTTGCTTACATTATAAAAAAGTACAAAGAGATGTCAAGGGAAAAGAGGTTAGGAGCAGATCATGATTAAAATGGATGCTTTAAGTCCCCCCAAGTTTTATTCCTGAGTAAGGAGAAAGGAGGTGCTTCTGGTACAGCTCTCCTCCTTCCATGAGTGCAAGCATGCAGCATCCTTATTTTTTACTTAACTAAAAGAGGGCAGGATTTCTTAACATCTGTAATTTGAAACAGATGTTTTATTACATTAGATAATGTCCTCCATTTTGGGGGGAGTAGTCATGAATTTCTTAGTGAAATCAAGGAAATCAAGTGACCTCCAGGGTTAAGCTGCCTGGTAAGGGAACTCAGGGGCACATAAAAATCATATTGTCCTGGGGCAGAGGTGGAACTAGGGAAGGGACTACAAAAGAAAGATACAATGCCAAGGGCATTGTAGGATGATCTATCCACATGAACCAGAGACTTTCAGTATCTCTACCTCTTCTGAATCTCAGTCCTGGGAATTTATTTCTCCAAATGCAAGATTAACATATAAATGAATATATTTCCTTTGGAAAAAAATCTAAGCATCCAAATATACCTCTGTTCTCATCAAGGGAATCTCTACCGTTTAACTCATTTGTAGAACCGCCATAACATTCAGTCTCAAAGCTTCCCCATCTCTTTCCATTAGCCTGTCTCCAGGCTCTACCTCTGAGTTCCATCTACTCCTCTAGACTGGAGGACCAGGACCCCCAGGTTCACAGATGGCTTCCTATGCGAATCATCCCCGATTGCCAAGGTGCTTTGGACACCTACCATTCTAACGCCATTCTCGAAGGCTTGCCGGGTGAGTGGAGCAGGGCCGTCCACAGTCTTGCCGTCATCGTCGGGGCCCCAGCTCGCACTGTAGATGTGTACATGCTGGGGATTGAAGCTAACTGATTTCGCCTCGACCATGTCTGTGACATCTCCATCCAGCATTCGAACTCCTTCAAGACAGACGGGAAGGAGCTTGATCAGAGGCTTTGCCATATATATATATATATAACACCCAAACAACCCAAGGCTTGCTGCAGCTACTGCATGTGGGGAAAAAGAAAGAAACTTTTAATCAACACTTAAGTGGACATATTCTCCTGAGAAAAAAGATAATTCAGACTTTTCTGAAGCTTTCTTAGGAAGAATGGAAGATACAGTGCATATGAAAGAGCAAAACGTCTGTAAAAATCTTTTTTTAATCCATTGTTCTCTCTTCCTAGGTTTCCACAATCTCTCCCTTTTCTTTACCCCGTCTTAATTGAATAGTTGACAAAGAGTGCCTCAAGCAATCCATCTTCCCTAAATTTCTCTTCATTAGATCACTTGTGTTCATAACTGGCATGAAACATTCTGACCTTAGCATGTTTACAAAAGTTGGAAAGCTGCCAAGTTAGGTTGGTCTAATTTCCTCCATATTTAATATTATCTCCTAATCTGTAAGACTGATGTGAGTTTAATATATTACTTCTCTGTCAAGTTATTTATAAGTCAGATAATAAATGAGAAAGCTCTCTATGCATGTAACACATCAAATAATTCTCAAAGGGTTTTAGCAATGTTCAGTTATTAATCTTCATTTAGGAATATTCCCACCAGACAGATAAGAATTTATTATTAACCCTAACTTGCAAAAACAGACACAGATATTAAAAAATAAATTATATGTCAAATGCCAGGCTTTCCTTTTTTTCCTTTTATTTGGGAGACACACAACAACTAATTGTTAAGTAAACATAACAGCTTCGGCTTAAGTTAAATACCATCACTGAGACATTGTATTACTTTAAAAATATCTCTCTCTACAGCCCAAATTTACTCCTTAGGAAAACACTGTTATCTAGTAGGATTTCAAGTTTTTATTCATTACCATTAAATGGGGATAAAGTAATAAAACCTCAAATCAGGCAGCATTAGATGCTACATGGCATTAGTGGGACTTTTGGTAGAAAATAAATTCTTTAAGAAGGTACATCTTTGTGCTTTAAAAAAGTGTTTAACTTTAAACTATAAAACTTACAAACACAGAAAAATAGAAAGAATGACAATAAACACTGATATAGCCAATACTCAACAACTGTTAACTTTTTCCTTCATCTAAAAATATAAATATTGGGCTGAATCATTTTAAGTTATGTGACAGATACAACACTATATTTCTTTAATATTTTTTACCAAAAAGAGAGAGAAATAAATAGCCAGTCAATATTAAATGTCCCCAAAGCATCCCTAAAGACATTGCATTTGGTTATTACATCTTGACTCTCTTTTCCTTTAGGCTTTTGGAGTTTTAAAAGAGATGTGTGTGAAAGGGTGATGTAGAGAACAAAGGTTATGAATAATGGCTTTAAAAATTAGGAAATTGGAACTGCAATTCAAAAGTCTGTCAGCAGTTTCTGGGGGACAGAACACCCAGCATGGTGCTCTGCATGCGCTGCGTCCTAAGAAGCCAATGGTTTTCGCTTGACATGAATATTCAAAATTCATCAGCATGGTTTTTAATCAAAGAAAGATAAACTACATCATATTCTTACTTTCTATTTAAAACCATGCAACAAAACTATCTTACCCATATGGGGAGGTATGAAAATAAGGCTGGACTATCCAGTATCCCTAAATGCCAACATGCAGGAGTATCTACAAAATACCTGAATTCAGTTTCTACGTCACGTAATTTATGTGAAGTCCACACACACACAAACAAAATGTTGGATAAAATCATATCTAGAGGGTAATATTAATGGATCAAAAACTGACAAATAAGAATTTTGTTTCCTTGAGTTTAAAGATGAATGGTTGCTTCTTCATTTGACTGCAAGCCTTCGTTCCTCGGGCATGTGAGGTTAATTACATAATTTGGAATGTTCTTATTTTCAGGATGATGGAACATTTGTGAGTCATTGCCATACACTCATTTTTGTACTGAGGTCCTTGTTCAGCCATGTCAGCGAGCAACTTATCTGTGAGGTTCACGAGTTCATCTCTTCATTCCCTCAAGGTCAGTGAGAGCTGGATTAGCATTGGAGAGTAATGACAGGGACATGCATGTGTGTCAGTGTACGCGAGAGACTGTGTGTGCCCTGGAGAGCAAGGAGGATTGACTGGGCAGCCACTGGAGCCATGTGAGTCTCTTGAGAAGAGCAGGGGCCTCCAGCACCCTCCTGGTTCTCAGGGGAAGTCTTTGCCTCCTTTCTTAGATCCTCCATGAACTTCCCCTTGACACACAACTCATGCTCTCAGAGTGAAGCTAATTGCTGCTTAACGAGCTGCCGCACTCTAAGAATTCCGGATGAAAAAAGCAAAGAGGTCCAATTTACTGATGGCCAACATTCAAAGCAGTTTCTGAAAACCTTTTCTTAGCACCATTATTATATACCCCAAGTATTTCATGCTACAAGACCTCTACATTTATCCTAGAAAGAACTGTCAATTTTATTTTTCTAGATCCAACCTTATTTACCATTTGAAAGCAAACAGTGTATTAGAAACAAGGATGCCATCCCGGGTCCAGGAGCTTCATTCATCTCATGACACCCTTTTAAGAGACCCCCAGGGGACACCTCAAAGATACTAGGTTCGATACCATCTCTTACAATGTTTTCTTTCCATTTACATGTGGCTGTGGCACCAGGCTATCCTAACAAAAATGACCACAGATGGAAAAGGAAAGATTTTGCTTTTATTAATGACTGGATTTAAACTGCTGTGGCTGGGTCCTTGTAATAAGCTTACATATATTTGAATTAGTGCATGTGTGTGCACATAATCTGAAATGATCAGTGATAACAGTCTTACTACTTTATGGGACTACAAAAGGAGACTTTACCATTTATCATTGTAATTGCAATTAAAAGGAAATTTGTATAAAACCTAAAGAAAAGGGAAAGAAAAGATAATTCTGTTTTAACATAACTTCAAATTATTCTTTCCATACAGATGTTATGGGCTGGCCTGGTGTTTATATTATTAGTTCTTTCTGACTCAAACACCAGTTTTACAGTTCTGTACAGATGTTAACGACCCCTTTTTCAGTACTGGACAACCTTTTTTAACACACTGGACAACACATTAGGGGTACTGCTTCTGAAGTCTTTAACTGTGTTCAATAACACATGTTAACATGGTCATTTTGCTGTCAGCAACAGTTGAGCACTATTATACAAACATATGCCTGTCTTTAGTTCCAAAGGGTTCTGAAAGCCAGTTTGCACAAGAGCTCTTGGCTCATTTCTCTACCCAAGGAAGTTCGTTTCCCATACCTCCGATCTTGGCGTTGAAAGCAATTCCGACTGTGCAGTGAGAGTTGTTTGCTGCGGCCGCCACTTCCCCGGCACAGCGGGTCCCGTGCCTGCAGGGAGAACACACACACTTTCTAAGTAAGACACTCCATTCTCACAAACTCAACACACTACTGCCACCACTCAGGCTCCAAAGTACTGAAGAATGGATCAAGCTGGGGGGTTTCTGGACCTTCCTACCCAAGGAGTGCTTAATCTGTCCACAGAAAATTGTTAGCACTTAATTATATTCTGCTTTGGATTATATTCCTGAAATGTTTATTTTTGATATCTTGCTTTCCCAACTGGAAAATATACTTGAAAGCTAAAATTAACTTGTATGTTTCTTTGCAGTCCCTAAAGTACCGCAGTCAATGTGGTAACCACCAGCCATAGATGGCTATCGGGTACTTGAAATGGGGCTAGTTGGGCTTCACCTTTATTTTTAATTTAATTTAGTTCTAATTAAATTTATAAAACAAGTATTCAATTCAATTATTAGAAAATTCAAGAATGTCAGTACAACTCTACTTTTTGACCTGTAAATTTAAATATAGTTCAAGTATCTCCAATGGAAATTTATCACCTAAAATGGGATTGCTGAAAATACACACTGAATTTCAAAAATTTTATGAAATTACAAGAATGTGAAATAGCCCATTAAGAATTATTTTTTATCAATGACATGTTAAATATCCTACCTTGAAAATATGTATTTGCAAATATATTTTTCAAATATATTATATTTGCAAGTATAATATATTTGAAAAATATATTATCAAAAGTTATTTCATCTTTTTACTGCTTTTAAAAAAAGGTAGCTACCAGAAAAGTAAACTTTTTTTTCTCAAAGATATTCCCTATTTGTTCTCACCACAATAACTTAGTTCCTTTGTCAAAAAGTTTTTTAGCTGAAAAGACTTCTTAGATCATCTTATCCAAAGGTGGCAAAGAAGTTTCAAGTGTAAAGAATAATCTGCTTAGAAACAGCGTCCTGACACAGTGTGTTGAGAAGAAATCGATGGCATGGCTGAGCCCGGAGAAAGGACACTAAGACTGACGACCAAGGTCTGCTGTAGACACAGAAGAAGGAGGTGACAACTATGATGGCCTATTTGTCATTGCTACTTGAGTCCAGTGCTCATCTCCCGTCCCTCATTTTTAGAGAAGGCGGCCCTAACTTTTAAAGAGATTTGTTGAAAGAGTGACTAAAACTCAGGCCCCCAAATTCTATTTCAGTGCTTTTTTATTTTACAGCACAGGTGCCTCAGACCACACTTACCATGGGCTACGGCTACCATCTGTGCAACCATAAACAGGTTACAGCTTGCATCTGATAGGTACACGGCTTACACAAAAGTGGTCTTATATCCTGCTTTTCCTACTTAGTAATGTCATGTATATATTTCTATGTAAATATTAATCTATATATAATTTAAAAGGTTAGTATTATATTACAATAATCTTTCAACTTTTATATATATATATCTGTTAAGTATATATACACACCATATTCTCTTTATAAAGCTCTCTATTCTTGGAAATTTGCCCAGTTTTTCATGAGTATTAACAAGGCTACAAAGAACGGTCTCAAGTATATATATAATTTTATACCTTGTGACAAGTTCCTAGAAGTGGAATTACTAGATCAAAGAGTATAGAATATATTGTCAAACTGTTAACAGCAGATGAAAGTAACAGAACCAAATTCTCATAAAAACTGCAAGATTAATAAATATTACTACAAATCATTACATTTTGTGCATGGCAAAAATAAAGACCACAGTCTAAGTTGAATGACAATATGAAGAATGGAGAAAATATCTGGACAAACCCTTGTGTACCTAAATCTCTATGTATGAGTTTTTCAATCTTTTTCATTCAACAAGAAAAACTGTATCTCATTGTTCCTTCTGTTTGTATCCCCTATAGTTCCATTGGATGCACATCTTTTCAAATATTTATTAGCTATTTCTATTTCTTGCTTTGTGAATAATCTTTTCATGCCCTTTGTCTAAATTTCTTTCTGCCTTTCCATCACATCTGTCACATATACATTTCCTAATTTATTATTTGGAACATAACCAACTTATTTATGGCAATTTGAGGTTGTCATACACAGTCCTTAATTTTGGTATAGTAATAATTATCTTGCCCTTCTGATATATTTGGTTGTACCACTTTAATCATCAGAAAAAATGTTTGTATAAAAGAAAAAACATTTCTTTTGTAAGCCCCAAGCTAAACTACAACTTCCCCCCTAACCCTAGCAATCATTTGCGATGATTCTTCGTTGTGTCCTTATTGCAATATTTCTTCATGGTATATTTTTATTTTTATTCAAATATCAAATTCCCTTTACGAGTTTATTGTTGTTATACTTTATTCCATCTATTTTAATTAATGCAAGTGCTACTGGAACATATGGATTTTTGTTTTTAATTCTGGTCTAGTTTACTCTTTGGTCTGTGGATTGTTTAGAAGTATGATTTAAAATTTTCAAATACATATGGGTGTTTAGTTATTTTTTGTATCAGTCAATAATTTGATTACACAGTGATTAAATATAATTTTATGAAGCAACTGCTCAAACTTTGTGAGTTTCACACAATAACTAAGTATTGATCAATTTTTATAAATATTCCATATGCTTTGAAGAGTGTATATTATTCAGTTTTTTATTTTATTTTTTTTGTTAATACATTATGTCAAGCTTATTCATTATATTGTGGATTTGTTAATGTTCTTTGCAGTTCTATTGATTTTTATTTTATTTAAAATTGTATTTTATTTATCTAATGAAACAAACCATTTATGAATATGTAGTAATATTCTGTGGCTCTAAGATAAAAATATCTGATTAGTATTTAAGTTTTTTACCTGTTCGTTCCTTTTACTTTCAAACATTTTGCGTTCAATTTAGTTATATCTCTTATAAATAGATTGTAATTGTTTTTTTTCCCCAAGCTAGGCTAACTATCTTTGTCTTTAAGCTGAGAGCCCACGTACAGTGACAGTATCTATTAATATATTTATGTTCACCTCTGTATATTTTCTCCCTTTACTCGTCCGGATTTTATACATTCTATTAATTAGTGGTTATCTGAGGTATTTGATCATGGGTACCTAACATCACAATGTCTAGAGTCAGCAATACTTTTTCAACTTTTCTCAAACAATATAGACTTTACAATGTTTTAATGCTGGGGTTGCCCACTTTTTGACATGAGTCCCCCAAGATAATAGCTATAATTTTGAATTTTTTAACTCTAGAAATTACTCGTTCTTATTACTTTAAAAAACCAATGTTTGTTTAGACTTCTAAATACATTCCTTGTTCTATTTTTTTTTTTTTGGTAGCTCATACTTTCTTAGGAGATAATTGATTACTCTTTGAAGAACATTCTATAAATGTAAACTTGAGAGTCCTTTAGTAGCCCCAAGTCTTTTAGTAGTCTTAGAAAATGACTTTATTTTACTGTTGTTCTTGAAAAATAATTTCTTTGGGTATACAATTCTAAAGTAACAGCACTTTGAAGATGCCCCTCTATTGTCTCCTAGATCCCATTGCTTCTGATGAGAAATCAGTCATTTTGGCAATCTAGTTCTCGCTGGATGCTTTTCAGATATTCTCTTTGTCTTTTCTATTATACAGGTTCATTAGGAAGTTGTATTGTACAAGGTCCGTCTAGAAAGTATCCAGCCATGCCATATGAAAAAGACATTTACTGAAGAAAATGCAAGATACAAGAAACACTGTACACAGTGCAATGACACCTCAGTCTCCTTCAAAGTAGGCACCTTGGGACCTCACACCGTTTTCCCAGTTGCCATCAGCTGCCCTGTAGTATTTTCCTGAATCTTATCAATGGTCTAAAATCTCTTGCCTTTCAAAGGAGATTTTAGTTTTAGGAAAAGCCAGGAGTTGCAGGGTGCCTTTATATGGGCTTTACTGGGCCTGAGTCACCTGGGTGATTTGATGTTTTGCCAAAAAACTCTGCATGAGATGTGATGCATGAGCGGGCCCATTGTTGTGATAAAGCTGCTGATAATGAGTTGCCCATAGCTGTGGCCTTCTGCATCATCCAAAGTTTCCACAAAGAAATGTTCAAGTTTAACTCAAAATTTGATGCAGATTTGTTGCTCTACTTGCTCAGTCATTTTGAATGGAATGGTCACACAGTACACATGCTCACTCAGTGGGTGTCTACCGCCCCCACTGACTAGTACAGTGAAGTCATCATTGTTCACACATGCACATTCCAGTCCACTCTCCTTGGATGTCACACGAACCTCTCTTGTTATATTAACAATGGTTAGACCTTTTTGGACAGACCTTGTATATATGGATTTTTAAAAATTCTTTCTTGGAATTCCTAAACCTGTAGTTTAATGTTTAAATCTTCAGCAGTCTTAGTCAATACCTTTGAAAACTGCTTTTACATTACTGTCTAGTTCTTTTCATTAGCATCCCAATTAAACGTACATTAGACCTTTTAACCTTATCTTAATCTTTAATCTGACCTCCAGGCTTTCCTATCCTTCTCTCTCTGGATTGCATCCTGTGTAATTTTCTCAATTCTAGATTTCACTTTTTCTGTCTTCAGCCATGATTAATCTGCCATTTAATTAATTTACTACATTAATCATTTCAATTATTACTTGTTTTATTTTTTTCAAGTTCATTTTCAAATGCATCTGGTTAATTCTGATCTTTTTCTTAGAATACTTTTCAATATTCATTCCTTCATATACATTAATTATATCTAATAATTTGAAAACATATGAATCTAATTCTGCTACTTATTTTTGCTGCTGGCTTCTCATGGTGATGTTTTCCATGTGTAGTTGATAAACTGTCCATTATGCTCTCTTTGGACTTGAATCATTGTGAATTCTTTGAGGCTGGTATGGCGAGTTTATTATTCTAAAGAAGATTAAAAATTTGTTTCTACCACATATATGGGTGTACACTGACCAGGACCTATTCAACCAAATTTAAAACTTGGTCCATACAAGTAATTTGAATTACAAGTACAAATCCCATGAGTACAGTTAGTAATTTTTAAAA